GGGGGGGGAACGAGTCGATGTAATGGATAGACGGAATGGAGAAGCGACAATAAAAGGCGACTCTGTACCGCTATCTAAACGCCGCACCGTAAATTACTCGGTATGACGCGGAGCACAAGTGCAGGTCGAGTACTCGATTTATAAAGTTCACCCTCTAAGTACGTTTTCATACTCCAGCTACTAACTGTTATAAATTGTGGGCTCGCGGCGCCGCGTACGTGCGATTTATGAGATCCGCCATGGGTAATATGGGATACACTATTTACGAACGAATCGTGAGTTATGAACTCGCTTCTCGTTCCCGTTCGGGGCGACAATGCGCGAAGAGCGAGCGGGTAATCTGGAGCATGTGCGAATAAAACCGTCAACGTGCGTAACCACAGCCCGGTATTTTCATTCACCTTTTCAGACGTGGCGCGTCAACAATCGTTTACGGGCGCATTTAATGGCGCAGCGATTTCCCCGATATCGACGCAGTCACGCCGATATATGTAATCAACCTCGAGAAATGAAGGCTGGTATTCATAGTGAGATTTTACATTTAAGTTCGTCTGAAGTTCACCTTCAAACGCCTTCGTCGCCGATGAAACGAGCCCTGCAATACCTCAAGATAAACCTACGGTGTTTTTAAATATAAAATTTCACTATAAATAATATAGTTGAGCTCTGATGTAGTTGCATTGAGATCGCGAAACGGCTCGTGTCGGCGGTTCATCAATGGGCGGTAAAGTCGCGATCGACGGGGGGCGAAGACGGGTGATGTGCACGTGCGTAAATCTCCCCCAAGTGCGTTCTACGTCATCATCGTCGGCGCGATTATGAACCGTATAATAATAACGGGAAAGCAACGCGGAGAAGCATCGTGCGAAGTTGTGTCCGCGACGAAAAAGCACGGTAGAGCGATAAAATACGATGCGATAAATATCCGTCCGGATATTATCTCGCGGATACGCGCATACGCGCATCAGGTCGCTAATTACGAATATTTAGCTGTGTGAAGCTCGACAACGACAAATTTTCCTTGATATTAATCCAAGATACGCCGCCGTTGCGGAGGGATCTTAATCGTGTCCGATCAATCGCGTATGCAACGCATATTATCACCGTCGTAAAGTCGCTTGAGTAATATCGCGGCTGCCGCGAGTGCGAATGCCTTTTCGACAGCCGTAAATGTCTCCAACGTCGAGAAATGAGCGTCCGATATACGACGAAACGGATTCCTGACTCAACGTCCGCGTGAGTCCCCACGAATCCCTGAAACTTTCTGCGCTACACCGCAAATCTAAAGTAACGCGATAGGTAGAGATTTATGCGCGCGAAATTATAATATTTATGCGCGTGATTTGATTTTTCGTGGGAAAATTACGCGCTTTATCGCATGAAGAAATAAATTTGCACGCTTAAACGCGTAATTTAATAAGTACGTTTCCACCGTATACAGGGTGTCCCGAGCCATTCTCCCGTTCCCACGTGTGCAGGTAGAACGGGTGAAACTGAACAAAAAGGTCATGTACCATTTTGCAAAATTCAGTAGTCAATGAGAAATTAATTATTTTTTTCTCAACTAACGCGCACGGGAAGCGGTAGGCTAGACTCTGTATAAAGAAAAAATATATATATTTTTTTAAATTTAATATACGTGTAAAATGTACACATTTAATAGCATAAAATAACGCAAATGAGACGTGTAGCAAAGTAACACCCGTAAAAATGTGTAAAAGGTAATTACACATAATACGATTTTAAACACGTGTGTGTGTAAAAATTACTTGGATTTGCAGTGTACGTCCGAAAATGGCACGCAACATTCTCAACGAGAAATCAATCGACGGAAACGGGGACGATTTTCCGTACGAGATATTTCGAAAAGTGACAGTTAAATTTATCAGTAAAATTAATTATATACAGCCGAAAACGCCGAAACTGCTTTCATGCAAATTATAAACGGTCAGATCTCGTTAATCGCGTCATGAATAATTGAACATACGCATGAATATTCCGTCGAGTAATGAATAAAAAAAATATGTCATTACAAATTAACGAACATGTGACAGAGCTAATACCGTATATTTCTTAATTTCCTCGATTCATTCGCCCGACATCTGCCAGAAAATTTACCGCTATGCGAACACGACATAGAAATATAATGCGATACACGCGGTGCAGTATACAATAAGAACAAAAGAAAAAAAGGCGTCTCTTTTGAACGTTGCGGCTGGTTTTCGAATTTTTCGATTTGATTGATTTTCCGTCGTCCTGAAGAAAATGTATTACCACTCACTGTTGACAAATACCGATCAGCGAAATCGTCCGATAACACACGTGCGCTCGCATCGCTTATCACTCGCGGAGTGCACTGAACCGCGGTGCATGACTAGCCGCTTTAAATAATGACCGTGTAACCGCGCCTGCGAAAAATGCGACGGGACATGAAATCCAATCTTCTTATCGCGCGATCGTAGAAATACTCGTTTCGTGAGACTCCGCGCGGCGCGAGCGAGTTGATTAAATTTTACGAAAAATTGATCGCCAATCGCTTTGCATAAATTCACGTCGCGGCACGCGTACGCATACTTTCCCACTAACGAGAATATCCCTTTATAATTCGTTCTTCGAGACACTTGAATTAAAAATGCGGACCCACAATGAAATCTCTTTCTGAGACGAATGTTTAACCCAGTTTATCCGACTCGATACCAGCCGCCTGTTGCTTTATTTTAAGGTTGTTAGTCCGTGACAATATTGTTAGGAAGGTTATGGTTAGTACTACGGGGCAGGAGCTCGATGAATCTGTGCTAAATGTTTATAGACATGTTTGATGATGAAACATTTGACATTATAGCAAGATAATATTAACATAATATTGAAAACTCACAAGGAAATAATCGCTTTCCATGTTTTGACATAAATTTTGGGTACCCAGTATATGTTTGGGAATGTATTGTATGTAATCCCCCACTCCCCTCCCTCCCTCATAGACGCACTCGAATGCACACGAATGCACGTTACTGATCATTACGTCGGATTTTTCAGTATATGATTATTATATCCGGTACATAATTATACTTCTCGCATTTTTATGTATATAATTATAGATCTTGAAGGTTATCTTAACCGTTTTATTTTTAACAAGATGCCTAACCAAGGGGCATAAAGAGAAATGTAGCACGTTTTATATTGTCAAATTTTTACAGATCGGCTTTCATATTTCCCGTAAAAAATATCCCCCGTAAAAAGAAAATTTCGGATTATCTTATCTCAAATTTCGACAAGATAGATCTTAAGTAATCTCGCAACATGTTACAATTCCCCTGGCATAAATTCCGATACTCTCTGATTCTCACTATCTTCGCATGAACGTTTCACGGACGAGACGTTTCGTCGAAATGCAATACGATGTTGTTGCAACGCGACGACCGCGAGTAGTCGCGTAGATCAACGTCAGTTGCACACGTTCAACGTTATAAAACAGAAAAAGAAGGAGAAACGCATCCACTTACCGGCCGTTGCGCAGTCACTACTGTTCCTTCCTTGCTTTCAAACGCCGGTCGCTCGGTTGGCTTCGTTCCTTTCAGCTCCTGATTGCCACCGACCGCTGCTGCAGATAGTCATCCACGTGGACAAGCGGCTGATTGCGATCGCGCACAGCGAGTAATTCACCACGACGATCGCCGATTATTCTGCAACACAGATCGACATCGCATTGACTTCAGGGTTCGAATCAGGGCTGTTAATCATTTCGAAGTTTCGAAAGAAAGTTTCGAACTTTCGAATTTTAGTACGGCGAAGCTTCGAAGGTTTTTTTTTTTTTCAAACACCGTAATCGACCGTAATATTTCGAAGTTTCGATATATTTGAAATTCGATCCGGATCTCCGAAGATTCGAAATTCGCATGTCAAAGCCTCCCTCGAACAAAAGAACACTAGTCCTTCAAATAGACGCGTGGAAACGGTGTGAAAGCCCGAGACCGAACGAAATGTGACAAAAGTGAGGTTATTTCTTGCTTCGATACGATGTTTCCGTGTATCGGCGTGTTCTTACATGCCTTTATCATTTCCTTTGACCTTAGCGAGCTGGACAGTTTTCATCAATTCGCTGTCACCGCTCGTGCGAGCGACATCACTCACCGGTGGCGAATCTGCGCAGAAACCAGTAATGCTAAAGCATCAGTGAAAGCTCTTACGGGAAAGGAGCTGCGCTCCAGTTTCCTTTTTTCATTTACTTATAAGCTTTTCATCGATTTACAAGTTACAAGGGACGACCTTCTCGTGCGACACTCTCGACAACTGTCCATCCGCGAACAAACGACGCACGACACCCGCGACGTTCGCAAAGATGACACGAGTGACGCACTTCCGCCGCGAAACTTGGCGGGATGTTGCGAGTCAATATGGCGGATACGACCACCTTCGAGTTTGACTCTCAGCTGGACGTCGCAAACAAACCGAGCTCGCTCGGTGAGACGAGCTTGACGCCGATTCTCTCGATCACAATGTTCGCATCGCGATGAGGAAAGGACCACGCGTCGCGTGGGAATACATCGCGTAATCCTTACGAGCGCCCTGTGGCGGCGCGTGACACATCAACTGTAGATCTCACCGATGCAACCGCACTCAGGTCAGTTCTCACTGGCAGGTCGTTCGTTGCCCGATCGACTCCCTGCACTCCGTCCACGATGTTCACTTTATCAACAAAACTCACGAGTAGACACGATTCGGCAGCGAGAATCGGCGTCTCGGCGCGCGAAGTAACGGAAGACGACTGAAGCGGTTAACGAGACGCGATCACGTGACTCCTCCGCCGGGCCAATCACAACGCGTCGCTTTTCCGCGCGCCGAGCGCGAACACGGAGACAGGCTGCGCGAATGTCCAGCGAAACGATCATCACATCGTAGAGACGACGGGCGAGGGGAGAAGAGCGAATTCGAGTCACACAGAGAAGGTACACGTCTGCTCGCGCTCCGCGCGTAAACACGACTGCGCGACCGTCTCATCGCTCGGCCGTCCGACACGCCGCCGCTGCGGCGAAGTAAACAGTTGACTGCCATGTCCAAGCTTTACAGCGTAACTTTCCACGATTGTCCCAGCTGTTCCGAATGTTACCGTCGACACCGTCGTTGCCGAGCGTTGTTCGCCGCCGAAACGGCGGGTCTCGTGAATTTTCGTTCAAAAGCGACGTCCATACGTTAAGTCCGCGCATTGATATTTCCACTTTAACAAAGACCCGATAAACATCAACTAATTAGTAATATTATGTTAGTCTCTATATTAGACCTTAATATCAGTTTAGACGGTTTAGAAAAAAATAAAAGTAGAATTAAAAAAAAAATAGGATATTAACCTCAAGGAACACGTGCGAAAAATGTCATCTTTAGTTGCGAATATCTCAGTTTCTAAAATTTGTTTCTAACACAGTGTAGATACAGTGTAGATCATATTTCCATTAATATGCGGTTAAAATCTGAAAGGATTCTCTAAAAAAATCGTTTTATAGAGCAACTATCTTAATATGTCGAATGTCGTGACAATCACCGGTGAACGGTTCTGTGATATTATCGTGTCTCATTAAGTTGTGCATGAAGTATAATTAACAGCGTCCGTAAAAATCGGCTGTGTACCCAGCATACAGCCGATGAAATGAATTGAGAAATGTATGCATCTCGAATTACAGTTACTTACGATATCTTTGGTATAACATAATTACACTGATCAACAAATTTGATACCAAATTATATTCTTATTAAATTGTAATTTTTTCTACTTATATTCATGTGTTAAAACAGAACATGACAATAAAAAATTATTCAGCTATAATTGAAGAAGCACCCGCTACATTTTAGTTCTTGTAAATTAAAATTAAGTGTAAAATTATTATTTCATGAAAATTGGCGTTAAGTTTTTTAAATTCTATTGAAAACAACGGAGAAAATCGACATGTCGGTTACAACGGAATATTTGTTAAGCATTCGAGAAATCTTTTCTTTTTCTACGATATTGTTACACATGTTCAGAAAATAAAAAGTTTCCCTGGTACAGAGTTTCCTTTAATTTAATTGCAGCGCGAAGTTAATATCACGTTACATCATATTATTGCCGAGTTCCATTAAATTACTCGTTACGCGTATCACGTGATCAATTATACGAGACGACTTTAACGACCACGTCTCCGCTATCATTGCAGTTCGTGTTTTCAGTCGAAATGACGAAACTGCACGACGATGCGGAATGACAAAGAGACGAGACTGTGAACTCGATTACGGTCGGTTAAAAAGCAATATGCTCGTTCTCGAGAGGAATACGCTTCGTTCCGCGACGACGAACGCACCGCTTTCGACACTTTGCGAGAATCTCACTGACAAGTCGCTCACCTTTGGGCCTCTCTTCGTCCACCTCCTCCCCCCCCCTCCCCCCTTCTTCCCGACACGCAATTCTTCACTGTCTGTTCCGTTCGTTCGCTTTCGCGTGGCTACCTGTCTCATTAAGATACAATATTATATAAACTTTTATATAGCTTGTATGATATTATATCTTGGCACTCTTCATTGATTCGTCAAATTTGACGAAATTCCTGCAGCAAAACCAGAATTTTTACCCGGGTATTCTGCGAATTTTCTAAAATGTATCATCATCTTAGCAGACGTTTAACTGACATCAACCGCAACGTCAATTCTCTATTCACTGATTTAATTTACTTAAATTCCTCCTTCAATTACTAGAGAACAGATATATTATAATTAATAGGTTTCATATATATGTATAATAACCGTGATAGTTGCGCATATCGAGAAGAAAAAATATACCGTAAGCCCAGCTCGCGAGCGGCCGGTTTATATTACTTTTTACGACGCGACGCCACGCCGCGTATATTTCATCGTAATAATGACCGTCGGCTAATAAAACTTCTTTTTTTTTTTTATCACGAGCTAACACCGACCACGCTTTAAAGTCGTCGTTAAAGGTTAATACTTCTCGATAACGAGAGTTTATGATCCGCTCAGACGTGATCTACGCTCCGCTAATGTCCGAAACTTCATAATTTTATCGGCCACGACCTTTTTACCCGGACTCGACCCAATTGCGGCGCAATTCAATTTAACTCGGAAAATTAAAAGCAAATAACTGATTCTGGGGGAGAGAAATTTGTTTGTAGTTTTGAAACAGATGTCACGCTCACAACTCCGCTATTTCGATATTTTTATTGCGGAATTTTCCGAGCATTCCCGAACCCCGCACCGAGATAATTTAATATTTCACGTTTTTCGATTGAAATAATAATATCATTTATTTTCGCCGACAACTTCGCCCGTTCCGAGCCCTGTGAAATCCGTTGCGTTTATACAGAAGAAAATACAGTTTTCGAGAGACGCGTAAATTAATTAGCACCGAGAAATTTTCCTCGTCTTTCCCATTCATTAAGCCCAGACAACTCTCGTCGCCTATTCACCGTTTATTTCTAAAGTTTCCTGCACTTCCATTTGCATTTATCAAATTCATTCATTAAATTCCGTATCATTTACTCGATTCCACGGCAATCGCACGGTATCGTCCGTTGCGAGTCTCTCGAGAAAAAAATTGGACGACACCCAAGAGACGAGAGCGACAAGCCGCGGGCGCTTCTTACAAAATCGCCACGGTCGCCGCTCGGTCGAAAAAGAGCGATTTAGGCGTCTATTCTTGAAACAGTTGCGTATCCACGCAAGTGGAAATTTACGAATGATCACAATGGGACATCCCTGGAACAGTTCGAGGGGCGATTGATAAGTATTCGAAACAAAAAGGTGAACAACAATTTATCTGATTGAAATGTAGAGAAGACCGGGGCTGGTTGGTACGCTTTTCCTCTAAAAATCTTTTACAAGAAATATATAAACGGAATATACATTGCAACGGAATTTTTCAACAGACATATTACATATCTCGTTTATATTACACTAAAAATATTTTTTTTTAATTCAACGGTACAATTTCTTGCACCGATAAAAAGTATTAGACGATGATACTTGTAACGACTAGCCTCACATGTTAGACTTGGAATGCATTTTCATGCTGCTATACTTAGGATAAACTTTGTTTACTTGTCAATTTCAATCGGACGTTTGAACGCGTGCTCGTCGAACGTTCGTCGAAAACTTCATTTTCGACCGACGGACGACGACGACGTGGCGAATTCGATCGGGCTTTTCGTCGTGTTTACGCACAACTTTAATCCAATTAATTCCGATAAGACGATGGCAGGCTGCAGGAACGTTGGCGGACCGGTAGGGCCGGCTTCTCTCACGCGATACCACAGTATTCTTCGCTCTTCTTCTTCCTCTTCGCTCAGCAGATCCCGCGGATCTACTTTGTTCTCGAGAGCGTCGTCGTCGTCGTTTAAATGTGGTAGCCGAGGAAACGGGTTTGCCCGTAAAACCAGGAGCCACGACCGAGCCGATGGAAGACACCGATAAACTGCCCGCGAACGAATCATGTGTGAATTAATGCGGCCAACGGCAGCGGTCTCATTGTTCATTAATAGAGCAAAATACTCGAGCAAATACATGCGCAAATATACTCGATCGCGCATTACATCGACATTTTACGCGGCGGCGCTCCTTGCGTAACATTGCCGGCTCGTTGTGGCGTTTGCAGCGGGCGGTCGGCTGCTAATTGAAAAGGTTGGGACATTCACAGGCATTCGGTGATAGTCAGACATTATAGTCACTTCGACGTCGCGAAAGCTTATCGATAGCGTAACAAAGAAACATGAATTACGATTAATCGGTGAGGAATGCTGGATGAGGAATGCAGGATGGATCGATAAGCTGATACTCAGCCAATAGAAAGTTTACGAAACGAGATAAAAGATACATACGTCTCGAATTACGTCGACTTTATTTTATTTTTCTGATTATTTCTTATAGGTATATCAGTTCTGGCGCTATTTATATAGCACGAATATTCGAGAGACATTCCAAGAACGTCCCAGAAACATCCGAATATTTCTGGCACATTCCTACGATGTATCTATTGAGCATTTATGCTGTATGCGCAGAAGCGTCAATCCTCAAACACATTAGAAATAGTTATTTTCAAGGAAATATATAATCTAATTTTCGTAAAACTATCGCATATCTCGAAGAGAAATGTTGCTGGTTTGCATCCGTGCTCATAAATTTTAATTTTACACCTTCAATATATATAGGACTTTAGAGCCCGAGAAGTGATATATCGGTTTTTCTTCAATTTATTATTACTATGTTTTTCTTCAATTTATTATTACTAATTATGAAAGTTTCGGGAGATCATTTTCGCAAAGAGAGGAGATGAATAGGTGCGACGAAATACGTTATGTCAGAGAAAATGGCGTACGCAAGCGTATGAGAATATACTACGGAAATGCATACAAAAAGCGGGATAATTAGAGAAACGGAGATTCCTTGAAGATTTCTCACTCTCGTTCCTGAAAAAACTGGTGGGAGGCGGTGGGGGGGGGGAGGCGCTGCGTAATAACGTGACGAACGATTCGCGCCGCTGATTACGGGCGCAGTTGTTTTCACTTTGCTCCACATACCCTGCGATTACGAGAACGAGAGCCTAACTCGCAATTACGCGGGACAAGGCAACACGCCGAATAACATAATAACGCAGCGAGGCCGTTTTCGGCCGCCGCGATGTTTGCCGCGGCGTGAATAACCGATGCAATTACCAAGTGCACGAGAGCTTGCATTAACCTGCTTGACCCATCGTGATCCTTTGACTTCGCCGGGGGCCCGGCTATTGGCCGATCTGGATCATGCTTATTACTCGCAAACGCCCGTGTACGTTCTGTCGCGAAAGGATCGTCCATTGCGAGCGGGAGAAATCGTCGAACGAATTATTAACGAAATACACATACGATATATTAACATTAACCAGCAATGTCGACAGAGAGAGAGAGAGAGAGAGAGAAAATATCGGACGCGAGATATGCGAGG